CAGGTTTGTTCTGAAGAAGGTGAAACCAGGCTGCTCCTTGGAGGCAAGGATTCTGAAGCTCCATTTGACATAATTTGGGCATGTTGCAAGGAGGAACCAGTCCTTGGAGCGGGGCATCATGTTTGAGAGAGTGGAGGGACAGTGCAGGAGAAGAAAACCCTCAATGAGATGGATCGCTTCAGTGATTAGGGTAATGGGAGTAGGTGTGCCAGAGACAGTGAGGTTGACACAGGATAGAACAGGGTTTAGGGCTCTTGTACATATGGTCATTAGGAGTCATAAGTGACTCGATGGCGCATAACAAAAACAATCAAAAAAATAAATACATTAGAAATTCTAAAAAAAAAAAATCATAGGTAGCCAAGTTGACACATTACCCTAAACATTAAAATTCAGTACTTGCCAGCTGGACACCTACACACATCTCTTCAAACCAAAATGCTTTGGGTGTCAGTTATGGTCTCTTCTGTGTATATTCCCAGTAGTGGAGTTGCTGGGTCAAATGGTATCTCTATTTGCAACTTTTTAAGAAAGCACCACACCACTTTCCACAGTGGTTGCACCATTTTACACTCCCATCAGCAGTGAATAAGGGTTCTAGTCTCTCCACAACCTCGCCAGCATTTGTTACTTGCTGTTCTGTTAAATTTTGCTATTTTTATTTGGGTAAGACAATATCTCATAGTTGTCTTGATTTGCATCTCCCTTAGAACTAGAGATTTTGAACATTTCTTCATGTGCTTGTTGGCCATCTGAGTGTCTTCTTCTGTGAAGTGTCTGTTCATATCCTGTGCCCATTTTTTAATTGGATTATAGGAATATGTTTGAAGCATTAAACAACAATAATCAAAGATAAGATGAGTTCTGGGATAATATAAAGGATATCATCTATGAAGGAAGCAAAAGTTCATTACAAAGGTAGAAGAAAGGAAAAAACAGAACAAAACAAAAATCAATGTCAGAAGAGACTCTACAAATTGCACTAGAGTGTCAAGAATCCAGAACAAAGGGAAAACATGCTGCAGTAAAAGAGCTGAACAGAAGATTTCAAAGGGCAGCTCAAGAAGGCAAAGGAAAGTATTATTATGGAATGTGCAGAGAGCTGGAATTGGGGAAGAAAAAGGGAAGAACTCACTCTGCATTTCCCAAGCTGAGAGAACTGAAGATAATTTAAACCTCTAGTAGCAAAGACTAGACTCATCAACAACATACTTTATGCAAGTGATATAGCCTTGCTTGCTGAAACAGGAGAAACGGAAGCACTTGCTGCAGAAACAGAAGGTCAAGGACTATATAGTCTTCAATAGCACTTGCTGCAGAAACAGAAGGTCAAGGACTATATAGTCTTCAATATGGATTGAAGCGCAACATCAACCTGTCTGGCTAATGGATTGGAAAAGTCCCATATTTATTTCCATTCCTATGAAAGGTAATCCAATAAAATGTGGAAACAATCAAACAATATCCTTAATTTTACATGCAACAAAATACTGCTGAAAATCATTAAAACACAGCTGGAATATTCCATAGCTATAGAACTGTCAGAAGTTCAAGTAAGATTTAGAAGAAGCCATAGAACTAGGGATATCATTGTTAATGTCAGATGGCTCCTGGCTGAAAGTAAATACCAGAAGAATGTCCATTCAGTGACTATGCAAAGGGATTTGACTGTGTGGATCATAATAGACTATGGCTAACATTGAGAAGAATGGTAATCCCAAAACAATTCGTTGTGTTCATGCAAAATCCATACCTAGATCAGGAGGCTGTTGTATGAACATAGCAAGGAAACAATATACAGTTTAAACTTAAGAAGAAAGTGCATCAGGGTTGTATGCTTTTCCCATACCTTTTCAATCTGTATGCTGAGCAAATTGAGAAGCTGGACTGTATGAAGCAGAATGTGGCATCATGATCAGAGGGAGACTCATCAATAACCTGATGAATTCATTCTCATTAGTAGCCTATTATGCAGATGACACAGCCTTGTTTGCTGAAAGTGAGGAGGACTTGAAACACTTATTTCAGAAGATCAAAGAATACAGCCTTCAATATGGATTGCATCTCAATGCTAAGAAAACAGATTTTTACCACTGGACTGATACAACACCATGAGAGATGGAGAAAAGATTGAAACTGTCAACAACTTCATCTCATTTGGATCCATAATCACTGCCCCTGGCACCAGGAGTCAGGAAAATAGGAGAAATATTGCTCTGGGAAGGTATGTTAGTGAGTAGTAATGATGTCAGTTAAAGGACTAAGGTGTGTCTGATTCAAGCCCCGGTCCTGGTCCTTCCGATCACTTACTATGCATCTGACAGCTGCATAATGAATTACTATGACAGAAAAAGAATTGGCACCTCTGAGCAGTGATGTTGCAGAAGAGCGTTGAACATTTCATGCACGGAAAAAATAAATAAATGTCTTGGAGAGGGTGCAGCCAGAGTGCGTGCGCGCGCGCGTGTGTGTGTGTGTGTCTCCCAAGTGATTTAATATTT